GGGGGGGGGATATATAAGCATCCCCGGAAACGCTATATGAAAATGTCACTGTTGAATCTATCAGGATAAGTTCCAAAAAAATGATTCAGTAATTTTCAGTCGTTTTCCCTTTTAGCAATTTATCGCCGTCATATAATGCTTTATGTTACAAATTAATTGTTCTCTACTATATTTGTTAATTAAAACATCTCTAGTATGGTTCAGCAGGTAATGAGATATTAATTATTATATTATATTTTAGAGAGATATTATTAAAAGTCACCCTTAAGCATATCTATGGCGATTTTAAAAACAGCAGAAAAGAGTACATGTACTCCATTTAACCATCCTTAAATAACAATCATTAAATACTACCAAGATATCTCCATAAGACAAGAGTAACGGAAGCTCTTTAAAAGACTAAAACACTTAGACAGGGTGCAGTGATTATTTGTCAACAACACTATACCATTGAGTGATCTTCTTTGGACAACAAGAAATTAATTTAACAACACAAACATACTTACATATCTCCATTTTCTAACAACCAGTCAAAATCAGTATCAGTTATGTTGCATTTAAAGACACCTTCTTGAGGTTTAGCTGTATTGGGGTTGTGTGGACAGGTGTAGTTCTTTTGGTGGCTATATGACGTAGAGGATCCTTCATAATGAAAACGAAAAATATCAGAAACATAATTTCAAATGACATCAAGATACATAAAACTAGCAATCAAAATGCTCATTGAAATATGATCTTATCTCAATCCAAATACCATTGTGGTTGTTGAATGACTTTGGTACTAGATAATGAATATACTGTACCATATACGGACATATAACTGAGGAGTTAAGGCTTTTGTATTATAGATAATTCCATATATCGTGCCAGCTGTTGAACATGACCACACATGTCGTTTTGATTGCTGAATATTACCACACGTGTCGTATTGGTTATTGAATCTGATCATTTGTGACGTATTGGTTGTTGAATATGACCATACGTGTCTTATTGATTGTTTGATTGTTAAATAATAACTCAAGTGCCGTATTGAGTGTTGAATTGACATGAAAGCCGTTGTTTTTTGTTAATTTTCTTTTACTTCTCGTACTGATTATGAATGTTTCTTTGTTTTGTGTTTGTTTATAGGAATTACACAAGGTGTCGTGGAGGTTGTTAAAAAAGTAGCCTTATTATAAGTCTTCAATGAAAAATAAACATTGTCTGAAATTGGTTACTGAATGGTAAGATGATTGTTCACTGCTTCCCTATATGTTGAAGCTGATGCCTGGTATCGTATTAATGTTGGGGAAGTATTCGTCGCTGGGTATGACTCTTTATGACAAGACGTCCATGCCGAAGGTAATACCTGTGACAATGATTCCAATATACATACCTTGGTGCTGAATTTTTGTAAGTGTCAAACGAGCTCGCCCGTCAACTATCCCAAAGCTGGAATTTTCAATGTAATTGCCGTTCTCTTCCAGCAAGGGATGATTGTACATTGATTCGAAGTAGATGTTGATGATATTGAAATCATGCTTCATCAACCAAATTGTATCTGTATAACTAGTGTTTGGTGCTGTGGAATCGGACAGGAATCTGGCGAACACTTTACCACTCGTCCTTTCCTGATTGACGAGGTATGTGCTGGTGCGAAGGAGATGTGGTGTTTGAGAAGCTTGCACTCCAATAAAATGACACAAATAATCAGATATGTATGTCTTAACATGAACGACGCTTCATTTCACCGAGAAAGATTTGAAAATAAAACTTCATATATATTTTTATGATAATGCATTAACGATATCCAGGATAAAATAACAAAAACAGAGGTTCCCTAACGAATGAGTGTTGGTAGTCATGTTTATCTAATTCGAGTTGTTTATTTGTCTACTTGTATAAAGACTCGAAGCTTACCGAGTGTCTTTTACAACTTTAAAATCAACTAACAAGATTTTGATAGACATGATAGCAAGCCATCGGGACCCGTTTCCCCCGTGACGTTCTTATCATATCCAGATAACCGTAAGTTTCCCTGGGAACTGTATTATTTCTGTTGAGATCGGGTAAACTATTGCAATAAATGTTAACGTCATAATTAATTATAACGACGCAAAGCATGTTTACGTGACGTCACAACTCAAAGATTAACCTCTAGGGTGTTACCCACCAAGAAAGTGTATCAGCTCTTGGCAGGATTATCCAATAAGTAGGCGGTGAGGAAACCTTTATTAGTTATGTAAGAAATGCATAACTAGCATGACCTAGAAATATATATGTCGGATGGCTAGTTGACGTTTTATTTAAGTGTATAATTATATACACCCAATTGCATACTTATTATCGAGCTGAGTCCTAATAAGTCCTAATTATAATACTTACATGTTAGACAAGTGGTGCCCGTGAAACCAGACTGACATCTACAGTTGTGAGGATACGTGCAAACCCCGGGGAAGCAAGGTTTCAGGTGAGAACATACAACTGCAAATAAACCAAACGATCGAAAAGCTCTTTGTACCTGAAATATTGTCATGGATACGTGTGTGTTGTATAACAATAAGAAAGCATTGTTCGTTGTTTGTATCTATAGGCGGTTGTTTAATACGTACGGTTTCTATTATGGTAAGGGATTTGTAAGTGCTTTGTCCGATATAGACAGTTTAATTTCATGAACAATGGTGATAATGTGTCCAGAATATATCACTCACCGAGTTATGTTGGCATTCGTAAAGATTAAATGCACAAGATTTAAACATTTAAAAATGGTAACAATTACAAAAAGAAATAAGTAAAAAACACACTCAAGAAACAACTAATGCCATAGTTAAGACAAACCATTCTAGTAATGACAATTACCTGTTTGACAGGTACTTCCTGTATGAGCGTTGTCGCATTGACACCTATTAGGTGACACACAGGTACCACCAATACAAGGAGGATTGCAAATAGCTGAAACAGACAAAAACTGTCAACATGACATTTTTTTTCAGAAGTCGGCCAACGGGTTAGTTTCTTGCATTCATAGCAATTATCGTGGAATAAAGTATTAAATTATAAGGATACATATCATACTCTGTGATGATTGTATGGATACCGTGGAGGAGGTGCCTGCGATGCATTGTATCAGACCTGATCAGTTGGCATTGGAACAAATCAAAAATATAATATCAGTCATTTTTCAAAGGTTGTTCATTTTTATCCGTATTTTTGTGCTTTTCTTGTATAGTAGGAGAAATAACTTTTCTTTTCATTGATAAAAATTGTAAACCTAGTTTCGTTTATTTTTTTCGTAACCCTGGTACATGTACCATGGACGTTCGGTCTGTTTCTGGTTATTTGGCTTTTCTTATACAATAGAATCAACCATAACATCAAAGAGATTTCACCAAAAAACAATATTTCACATGTAAAATGGGAGTTACCTCCCCTACACTGTTTATATTTGGATAGTTATGACAATATGACCAATCCAATTGACATAAGAAGTGCGAAACTTATTACTAGTATCTACTATTGTATAATCAATGTTTTTGTATTTCAAGTCATTCCAGCTCTTCCAGACTACCCCCTTTATAGTAATGATTATTGTATTAAGTATAACCGATTCCTTCTTATTTTCCTGGAAACCAAGCAGCATAACCTCCTTGGATATCTGATGTCTGTAATCTGGAGTAACATAAACCACTGAATTACAACTAGCGTTTATGACGTTTTACAAGGGAGCACATCCGTAGAATAGACCATCCACTTTACAGAAATGACACTTTCCGTTCGAATTCCTAAACTTACTTATTTTAGATTACGTGTATACAACATTATGGATACCATTCCACTGAAATTCTTTCATTTTCTTGGTTGTTATTGCCAAACCAATGTTATCCCAGATCTGAGTCCAATTAAATTGTTTCTGAAATTCAAATTCCCACTTAGTTTGACAATTCAGATGTTATCATTGACCTTCATCATCAAAGATTTTAGGATAATTATTTTTGAAAGGACTCGTCCTAAGGTTCTCGTCAATTAAGTCACAATTAACATCTATTTGAGGATATGCACATTGCTCTACATGATCTTCTGCTAGCGGTTTAGCTTGTATAATGTATAAATAGGTGGGATAGGGCACCCTTGCCTAGTTGAACGCGAAATAGAGAACAAATAAGAAATATAACCATTTGTTTATTTAAAAGTTTTCGCGTCTTTTAGAAGTATTGATACCGAACACCAAATGTCGCGCCATAATTGAAACATTCTAGACATCTAGCTAACCACCCGCATTCCACACTATCAAATGCCTTCTGCTGATCCAAAAATATGTCTGACCTTTTGTATGTTCTTTTTCGGTAAGTTCAAATATATCTTGGATAAGCCTGTTTGTTATATTACGACCAGTAATAAAACCCCTTTTGATCTGGATGAATTATATACCCTAAATACGATTTAATTCTGTTTGCCAATATGTTAACTATACTTTTATAGTCGACATTTAATAATGTTAAAGGTCTGCACTTACGGATTTCTTCTCTTTCTCCTCTTTTATAAAGCGAAGTTAAAATGCCCTTACTTTGAGATTTTAATAAATTAGCTGATTCAAAAACCTCTGATAAAACCGCTAAAAATCGACCTTAATGATATTCCAAAAATGTTGATAAAGCTGGAAAACTATCCCGTCCTCGCCTGGCGATTTGTTTTTCTTCATTTGACAGGTACATTTTCTAATTTCTTCTGCAGATAAGTTCCTTTCGATATTGTGGTTTTGCTATTCGATCAAATTTGTTTCCAACATTTCCGAGCAAAGTATTTGCGGCATCTCTGTCCCAACCTTCGGATGTAAATAATTTTTTATAATTTATTTTACTCTGATGAAATCCCATCAATTCCTTCTTTGTAGTAACCTTCATCAGCTTTAATTCCATACCATAACTTTTCACCAACTCTCTTCTTTTTTAGATTGAAAAATGAACGAGAAGAAATTTCATGTTCTTCGAATTCTTGAATTCTAGAATGAATTCTTTAACCATTTGATTTTTGTCGGTAATATGTTTTTATTTCCTTAGTTAGTTTGTCCAGTTTACTGTCATTATCTTGATTATCAGATTTGCTCGATTCCTCAATTTTTTCTCTCTTTTAATTTGATGTCGTTCTCTTTCCTATTAAGAGTTTTCGAAACAAAATAGTGAGTTCTTTTATCTTAATTTTTGCGATCTCCCACCAATCTCCAAGGCTTCCAAGTTTTGGTTTCTGATTTCGATAATTCCCAGAATGTTTCCAACATGCTTTAGATCCCTTCCAAATTCCAGGTTCCAATTTGTTTTTTTTATTTCTAATTTAAGCTCTATAAAATAACTAAATCATGATCGCTAAAAATACATGGAACAATATTTGCAGATATCTTTTCATTAAAGATTTCATTACTTCATCATATATAATAAATTCTTCATTTGGATTTGCCTTTGCTGAAAATAAAAAAGAAATTGCAGGATATCGCACGAGCCATTATCCCGTAGGCTATTAACATTGATAGATACTATCGACAATGAAGACACATAAATTGTATACAAAAATAATAAAAATCATACATCATCTGATTTTAACGACACATATATAATAAGATTGTAACACCAAACATAATTCTTCGTATGTAAATGTTTCGTTATTCATCTTCATTAGGGCACGGGTCCGATCGGGGTGCCAGCTTTACTGATCTTATTTGCTTGGAGTTCCGCTAATAAAGTGGTGGCCGATCTGTTGCTGATAGTGCAAAACGAACTTTATCTGAAGAGAGTTTACTATATTAATTCGCCGTCAAAATTTAAATGCGTGTTATCCCCTCTAGTAAAGTTAAAATATTATTTAGAAAATCAAAATTCCCTTCGATATCTCTGTCTTCTGTTTTCGAAAGGTTTGTTTCTTAGCTTTTATTGTTTAACGGCCCATCGATAACTTTGGTCATTTAGAGGCATGATGATTATGGTTTTTCAACATTATAAATCAATTGCCAAGAGTCAAGTCGTCACAATTGAAGATGCCGTCACAAAGCAGTGTTTAGCCAAACAAAATGCCGCCATAGTTGGAAAGCACATCCGGGCTACAGCTATCACAATGGAACTGAGCATATTGTCTTGGCAGCGGGCTAAAAAGACAGTCACTGTGTATGGGGTATAATAGGAACGGACATAAAAATAATAAGCATTTAAAAACGGTTGCAGGAGATAACTATGTATCATTATTTATCTACTATCTCCTAAGAAGAGAGCGCAGAAGAAATATATCCCACTGAAAGCGCAGTATTAGAAATACGTAGTAAAATTGATTCATACCAGAGGACAGAGATACGGATATTATATAAGGATGTCGATATATTTTCGCCATAAAAATATATCTACTATTTTGCGTCAAAATGTAATCATTAAAATAAAAACGAAGAAAAATATAAGAAATAAAATGAACATTTATGCTTACGAGTTCTACAAGATGGCCCGGTGTACCCAGTACAACAGCGTGAACCTTGTGAATAGTAAACCCTTCTTACACTTTTTCTGCCCCACCTGTAACATAAATAATAGACCAAATGAATTCATGGTAAGCAATGGAATCTTATTATGTTAATACGCGATTCATAAAGTATATACCCTCATGTAAATAATGTCAGCCGTAACTCTGTTTATAAATCCTTTATGCATATCCGTTTATTGAGCATGTATACGTTTATTGTTTGATAACTACATGTGGTACAAAACGCCAAACAAAAATGTTAAAATGTCATGTACAATTGTTATCGTTAACGGTCTGGCGCATTTTGGTGGTGCAGTTGACAACGCACTCTCCTTTCACTGAGACGACCGTGGTTCGATTCCCCGATCGGCCATCTTCTCGACCATGTTGGTTTTCTCCGGCTACTCCTGTTTCCTCACACATGAATACCTTCTGCGCTTTTCTTTTTTGACAATGAAGAGTGATTATAAGATGGAAAAACTTGTTTGTAAGTTATAGTTAAATTAATAAAGTTTATTTTGTACAAAGTTTGTCGTCAAAATGTCATTTTATGTACACCAGGTAGGAAGTGATTTGTATCATTATTGATATCCTTTGAGAACACGAGATAATATGTATTCCGTGACCGTTAGTTTTCTCTATAATAGGAAATATCACTTATTTAAATTAATTAGTACAGGGAAATGTGGGCTTTCGATATACATAACCTACATAGGAATGTTACGGGCCAGTTTTAATTATCAAAAGAAAGGTCAACACGCAGATAATTTGTGTCTAAAGAAACATTTCTATTTACAGGATACCCTAGTTAAGATTTTAGATTAAATATATATTTTGCCTCTGTGTGTTGTCGATGCTATATACATTTTGTCACTGTGTGTTGTCGGTGCTATACATTTTGTCATTATGTGTTGTCGATGCTATACGTATTGTCATTGTGTTGTCGATGCTATACATTTTGTCACTATGCGTTGTCGATGCTAATACATTTTGTCACTGTGTGTTGCCGATGCTATACATTTTGTCATTGTGTTTTCGATGCTATGTATTTTGTCACTGTGTTTTGTCGATGCTATACATTATGTCACTATGTGTAGTCGATTCTATATATTTTGTCATTATGTGTTGTCGATTCTATACATTTTGTCACTATGCGTTGTCGATGCTATTCATTTTGTCACTGTGTGTTGTCGATGCTTTACATTTTGTCACTGTGTGTTGTCGGTACTATACATTTGTCATTGTTTGTTGTCGATACTATACATTTTGTCACTATGCGTTGTCGATGCTATTCATTTTGTCACTGTGTTGTCGATGCTATATACATGTTGTCACTGTGTGTTGTCGATGCTTTACATTTTGTCCCTGTGTGTTGTCGATGCTATCCGTTTTGTCATTGTGTTGTCGATGCTTTACATTTTGTCCCTGTGTGTTGTCGATGCTATACGTTTTGTCATTGTGTTGTCGATGCTATATATTTTGTCACTATGTTTTGTCGATGCTATACATTTTGTCACTATGCGTTGTCGATGCTATACATTTTGTCACTGTGTTGTCGATGCTATATACATTTTGTTACTGTGTGTTGTCGATGCTATACATTTGTCATTGTGTTGTCGATGCTATACATTTTGTCATTATGTGTTGTCGATGCTATACATTTTGTCATTATGTGTTGTCGATGCTATACATTTTGTCACTGTGTGTTGTCGATGCTATACGTTTTGTCATTGTGTTGTCGATGCTATACAGTTTGTCATTGTGTTGTCGATGCTATACATTTTGTCACTGTGTGTTGTTGATGCTATACATTATGTCACTATGTGTTGTCGATGCTATATATTTTGTCAGCATGTGTTGTCTATGTTATACATTTTGACACTGTGTGTTGTCGATGCTTTACATATTGTCACTATTGGTTGTCGATGCTATACATTGTGTCACTGTGTGTTGTCGATGCTATACGTTTTGTCATTGTGTTGTCGATGCTTTACATTTTGTCATTATGCGTTGTCGATGCTATACATTGTGTCACTGTGTGTTGTCGATGCTATACGTTTTGTCATTGTGTTGTCGATGCTTTACATTTTGTCACTATTGGTTGTCGATGCTATATACATTTTGTCACTGTGTGTTGTCGATGCTATACGTTGTGTCATTGTGTTGTCGATGCTATATATTTTGTCACTTTGTTTTGTCGATGCTATACATTTTGTCACTATGCGTTGTCGATGCTATACATTTTGTCACTGGGTTGTCGATGCTATATACATTTTGTCACAGTGTGTTGTCGATGCTATACATTTGTCATTGTGTTGTCGATGCTATACATTTTGTCATTATGTTGTCGATGCTATACATTTTATCATTATGTGTTTCCGATGCTATACATTTTGTCACTGTGTGTTGTCGATGCTATACGTTTTGTCATTGTGTTGTCGTTGCTATACAGTTTGTCATTGTGTTGTCGATGCTATACATTTTGTCACTATGTGTTGTCGATGCTATATATTTTGTCAGCATGTTTTGTCGATGCTATACGTTTTGTCATTGTGTTGTCGATGCTATACATTTTGTCTCTGTGTGTTGTCGATGCTATACATTTTGTCTCTATGCGTTGTCGATGCTATACATTTTGTCTCTGTGTGTTGTCGATGCTATACATTTTGTCATTATGTTGTCGATGCTATACATTTTATCATTATGTGTTTCCGATGCTATACATTTTGTCACTGTGTGTTGTCGATGCTATACATTTAATCATTGTGTTGTCGATGCTATACATTTTTTCACTATGCGTTGTCGATGCTATACATTTTGTCACTGTGTGTTGTCGATGCTATACATTTAATCATTGTGTTGTCGATGCTATACATTTTTTCACTATGCGTTGTCGATGCTATACATTTTTTCACTGTGTGTTGTCGATGATATACATTTTGTCACTGTGTGTTGTCGATGCTATACATTTCGTCACTATGCGTTGTCGATGCTATACATTTTGTCACTGTGTGTTGTCGATGCTATACGTTTTGTCACTGTGTGTTGTCGATGCTATATATTTTGTCATTGTGTTGTCGATGTCATGCATTTTGTCACTGTGTTATTGATACTATATAATTGTCACTATGTTTTGTCGATGCTATACATTTTGTCACTATGCGTTGTCGATGCTATACATTTTGTCATTGTGTTGTCGATGTCATACATTTTGTCATTGTGTTATTGATACTATTTAATTGTCATTGTGTGTTTTCGATGCTATATATTTTGTCACGGTGTGTTGAGTATCTGGTACAATTTGTCCTTGCACATTGATTTTGTCGCGTATTTTTTCTATTCTAATTGTTATAATGTTTCATATATTACGTGTATGCTTGTTTCAACAGACAAATTGTTTTACTACTACTTACCATCCAACTTTTGTGCTTCCCCATTTGTAAAGTGTCTTCTGGAAATAGCATGTGTTCCTGGTAAAGACACATAAGATTCAACACTCTATACAATGGTAGATACACAATTGACTACGACTTGCACATAGACCTGCACATATACGAAAACTACAGTGTTTAATACAGGTACTAAGGACTCACTGACAACCACACAAACAAATGGAGTCAATCACTATAATCATGGTTATTTGTTTCACTTGATATAAATACTAATAGAAAACATTAAGATGCACATTGGAGGGCCACAACAATATGTTGTAACAAAAAAGTGTTTTAACGTCTTTAATACGAGTTGCATTTACATCAAGTAAACTTGCTATATGTATTAGCAAAAACATTACTAGAAAAACTATGTATATGTTTTATGGAAACATATCATCAGTCCTGTCATCTCCATAGACAGCTGATGGCCTAACTGCTAAATAGGTGGTCTGAAAGTTACACGTCTTCTGCTTCATCAACGTCACCTGTGATGTAATAATAGGTTTAACAATGTCAGGTCCCCATGGTGAAAACCGGATAGAGATAGCAAACAGCAAAAATCATTAATGATCATAATCAAAATCATCAACCTTGATATTGCTAAAGGAGAATTGTCTTCTGGCGATGATACGACAGAAAAAAACCATGAAAACACCAATTATGTGACACTAAAAAGCCGTAAGAATGTAAACATTGAACGGTGACACAATGCGTTTACTGTTAAAGGGAATGTCATGTCTGTTTCTCTTGAATTGTCGTATCAGTCGTTGACAATATAAATAGAGGTTATTGATGCATAAGTTATATGTTGCAATGATGTTAATACCTTCTCATTATAAATTGTTGGACACATTTAAGGATTGACTTGCATTTTGACGCCGTATACGGTAGGATGAACGCAGTTGGCAACGAACATGTTCTATGGTGCGCTCCATAAATATATGTTTACTGCCAGCTGTGTACGTTCTACCGCAAACGCCATCAAAATGTATGTAATTCCTTATATTTACAGTTTCAAGTGTAATTGACCCTATAAACTTTGTTGAGGTCATTGTCATTATCACTCGATAATGACAGTCATTCTTTTGCGTTTATACCGCGTGCGCGTAGTGATGCTTACACCGTGCACGGCAACAACCCAGGGGTATTCAAGGCTATTTTCGAACGTAAACAGTAGTAACCGGGGATACGAGATTTGTAAACAAATGATAAATCAATTGAAACCGCTGCCATTTCTGATGTTTTGAAAGTGAGCAAGTACGTAAATTGTTTTGTTGGGTCACCCGAGGCAAAGTTATTTTGACATTGACAGGGCCCCCACAAAAACTCCCATCTCAAATGCGTCGGTTCCTCTTCAATTCAGCCGGTATGTTGACAAATTTATCGTTCACACGCTGTTCCTTCAACTGTGTTTTCAACCAACTATGGATGACTCCGGCGAAGCGAGGCGCAAAGTGTAACCGCATCACACATCGGGCTTGAATGGAATATTTGTAATCCTTCCGCGGAATATAGTCTGGTTAAAAGAACACGTTTTATGTAAAACCTTGATGGAATTACAAATATAAAGATTTACTTTCTATTTAGTTTAGGTTATCGGGTGTTAACTACAATGGAACTTGGGTAAATTAATCATAATCGGCTTCGCTGGTAATTCAAATTACCCGAGTTCGATTGTAGTTAACACCTGATAACCTAAACTAAATAGAAAGGTAATCCTTAAATAGTTACATCATTAATAATGTTTAAATGCTTTACAAAGAAGAAAAAAACATTCGAAGATGGTTGTATGAGTGTAACTACAGTAGCCGTGCTTGCTAGGATAATATAATTCCAGTGAATCTACATCGATATAAATGTAAATTTGGAAAAAACGCAGTGATTAACACTATATTTCTTCTTTTCATCGTTTGTACATTTTTAATTGAGTAATAGTGACGCGGTCGAACGTCGCCAAAGGAACCCGCCATTGTTTAATTTACCGTCAAATAATTTTAAATGTGCATCCTTGGAATAAGAAGTTCAATGTTCCTAGAGAACCAAACAATGGCTGCCATTGAACAGTCATCGTGCTGAAGTGTGAACGGCGCCATATTTGGAAAATATATCAATCCGCCGAGCCTTTTTTCGTTGCGTATACGCCAATGTATACGCAATCAGATTTTACTAAGCTGGAGAAGGAGAGATGTAAATAGTTAAGAAAAAAATATTGGATTAGTGTCCATATTCACAATCGTATATCACCCCTGCAGGTCGGGGATCGAGAAAAGAATACGCCTGCTCTTACCCACTGCATGTATCGTAAGAGGCGACTAATGCGGGAACCCCTGCATAATTGGGGATATGCGTTGGTGCCCTCTATTTGGAGACACGAAAAGCGACCAGAATAAATCTGTTGCACCCATTGCAATATTTTGGATCATCATTTTTCTCTTTACTTCTAACTACCTTTTATTTCCTAGCGCCTTGCTTGGCAACACCTCACTTTTGGCTTTATTGTTGAGCGTTCGCACAACTGAGGAAGGCAATGGATTTTGTCCCCATGTTTGGACGTACCAAAGTCCTTAAAATGGTAGATGTTATTTCTTGTTTAACGGTCAGCATAAAAGGAAATGGCAACAACTGGTTCACCCCGTGTCAGTATAATGTGACCGGGTGGAATGCTGTGGGTGCCTTCGGCATGGCATTTCAGTGAGATATCACTATGATGTCGGCATCAGATCACAAAAAGACAAATACACAAAGAGCTACTCTGTCTCCGGCACGTATACACAACATACATGGAGGCACGTCCTTAAATGACCTTAGCTGTTAATAGTACGTTAAACAAAATAAAACCAAAGCCAAACCACAATCGTATGTGTCGCACAACCCTGGAAAATTGTAATAAAAGGAAAGGCAACGCTTACGGCATTATTATTTTTTCATTGAATTTAGATCTTTTGACTGAATTTGTTTGTAAAAACAATAAACGTAAATACGATACTCACCCTTGGCAAGTATCAGTGATGAAACATGCTACAAGAAGGGTAAATACAAAACGGGGTTCCATAGTGGTCTTCAGGTGATGTATGTACCGCCGACGATGTGTTACACCTCAACTACAATCAATAGCCGAATCACTGCCTTAAATAACATATCGTGCATCAACATTGACTATCAAAAGGTAAACACTTCCGCATTGATAACTAACGCACAGATAAACTTAACATGATTTTAATTTATTTAAAGATGCACATACTCATCTGTTGACCGATAAACCTTACACACACACTTGATTTCACCTTTAACGTTAACGTTTGGTAATATAAAAGTAATGTGTAACTCTGTAAAAGATAATACCATACATTTTTATAACCAGAAGCCAAAAGCCCTTTATCTCTCGGCGCAATATGACAGGTTTCTGCATGTTCTCGGCCAGTGTTATTTCTTACAGTTTTGCTTCTTAAATTGGTTTGTTTATATAGTACACGTGTATTTCTAGTAACTGGTTTATTTCTTCATTCACCAGTTCACATCTTCCTGACTGTTGTTAAATTACAGAAAACTATAGGTATAGTGCAATACAAGAAATGAAACTGGAAAAGTATTTGATTGGAATCCTTTAAAGTCATAAAGATGTTGTGATGAGTTTTTATTTATTGTGAGGAGACTTGATTATGATTTTACAAAGTGCACCCATTCAAACAATTAATAGTATGTATAATATATAACGTTTGTGTAGCGCCTTAAACAATTTGCAAAATTACTAAGAGGCTTTGCATTACATGAATAATAGTATTCCTACAGTGACATTGATCAGTAAAGAAGATAAAAACAGGCATACACATGAGAATTTTACATAAGAAAAAAGACATTTATCGCCATATGCATTTAAATATATATGGGGCAAAGAAGAAATTCCAACAGTGTGGACAAGTTTAGGTTGTCAAATTTTCGGAGCGATCCGCTCCTTTTTCAAGACACAGTGAAACAGAACAGTTACATGTACATATACATCATATTACAAGAAGATAGAATTGATATACTATAATTGAAAATATAGCTATTATATAAAACCAATAGTCCCCTCGGCTAAAGACAGCCGAAGGCAGCAATTACGCTGAGAGCATCGCGGACAAGGCATTTAAATATATAGATATATAGGGTGCTTGTGTTTATGACGTCTACGCAAAAGAACCTAAAATGAAGACGTAAAACAGTGGGTCTTTGTATCCAAATTGGTGTTTTGAAATGCAATAAAACAGGTGTTTACCATCAATAAAACAGGTGTTTACCATCAATAACAGGTGTTTACCAGCAAGAAAACAGATGTTTACCAGCAATAAAATAGTAAAACAGGTGTTTACCAGCAATAAAACAATAAAACAGGTGTTTACCAGCAATAAAACAGGTGTTTACCAGCACTAAAACAGGTGTTTACTAGCAATAAAACAGGTGTTTACCAGCAATAAAACAGGTGTTTAACAGCAATAAAACAATAAAACAGGTGTTAACCAGCAATAAACCGGTGTTTACCAGCAATAAAACAGATGTTTACCAGCAATAAAACAGGTGTTTACCATCAATAAAACAGGTGTTTACCATCAATAACAGGTGTTTACCAGCAAGAAAACAGATGTTTACCAGCAATAAAATAGTAAAACAGGTGTTTACCAGCAATAAAACAATAAAACAGGTGTTTACCAGCAATAAAACAGGTGTTTACCAGCACTAAAACAGGTGTTTACTAGCAATAAAACAGGTGTTTACCAGCAATAAAACAGGTGTTTAACAGCAATAAAATAATAAAACAGATGTTTACCGGCAATAAAACAGGTGTTTACCATCAATAAAACAGGTGTTTACCATCAATAAAACAGGTGTTTACCAGCAAGAAGACAGATGTTTACAAGCAATAAAATAATAAAACAGGTGTTTACCAGCAATAAAACAATAAAACAGGTGTTTACCAGCAATAAAACAGGTGTTTACCAGCAATAAAACAGGTGTTTAACAGCAATAAAACAATAAAAAAAGGTGTTAACCAGCAATTAAACAGGCGTTTACCAGCAATAAAACAGATGTTTAACAGCAATAAAACAGGTGTTTACCAGCAATCTGTTCATTGCTTGTTTTACACAAAAAATTGTTTTTACTGATTCAAAGATTTTTTCTTCAAATAGCGAGACAATTTGATCTGTTTTATTATCACTTTGACTCCTCAATGCTTTCGTAGAATTGGATTGTATCTGTTACTTTTCACACCAAACATTTCCAAAAAATATTGCTCAATACAAAATGAAAAGCCATAAGACAATAGGTGCCCGAATGCCAATGACTGTGTCTTCAATATTTATATGTCATATGCAGACATTTACGAATTCCACGAATATATCTTTCGTGGTACGATTTCACGTCAACCTGTCAATCGGAATCACCTTACTGTTGCTCGCATGAACTTTTTATTCCATTACCGAAGAACCAATGTTACCTATTGAAAACTGTAAACGAAATATCCCAATTACAATGGATTGTAGCTTGGAGACTTCCTAAAATCATTGAAGATGAGGTACAACATATAATTTTGTTTCCTTTGTAAACATTGTTCATTTAGTTTGTGAGCTGAGTCACGTGTTCATAACTACTGCAACTATTAGGTGATACATCGAAATCTATGTGTACCAGTGTCTTGGGTTTTGAATAATTGCACACTATGAAATAACATTAAAGGGCGTGAAGCAAGTACATCATTATTTGAGTTTAGAGTTACCGGAGAAACGAAATATCCAGCTCGTGATAGATCGTTTATGATTCTTGTCATTTTCTTGTCTATAACTTTCCCGTTGATGACTGTGATATAAACTTAAGAGTAACTTACTTGACTGATTTAATACAGTTATTAAAACAGGAAGATGTGTTTCTGTTTACTAACATATAAACTTTATTAATTTTATTAGAACTATTGTAAAAGTTTCATCAACTTGTATATTAATTGCCTGTTGTTGGCCCGTGCGTTATCGCACAGGTGACCACAATAAGGAAATAAAGTACATGGATATAACCAAATAAGTGGGGCAGGTGACCCCATAACGTTTTGCGTCTGATCTGGAAAATCGTACCCCGACCGTGTAGGTGAAAGGCGAGTTCGCTATCCACTGCGCCACCCGAGCACCCAGACACACATGCATATGTCCGTTGTTGTAAAGAATAATCATAATAGTTATTTACAACGGTGGGTTGTTTATCGATGCACATTTATCTTCTGGTCATGTCGAAATGTTTGATGGTTTGGTTATCGTTTTAGTATTCGCTTATCATATCATGTTACATCCTGTTACATTGACGTCATGTGTTATCAGTCGAGGAGATGCTGCGACTTTGAGGAGTACATTATTGGTTCAGAGACCAGGCATTATTTTATAACGATGTTATGTTGATAATGATGAAATGTTATCTGTTTTTTAGTAATGCCTGACTCGAGTTGGTCATGTGCTGATAAAAAGCGTGAACTTATCAATGATAGAGCATAGAGCTAGTTCTGTCTGATGAATCACCAACAACGTTATCTACACTATCAATATGTTATCAACACCAATGCTTCAATCCGAGACACTGCAGTTTATATTCACGATTAACAAGAAATTAAATTTGGCAAAAATAAATTGCTTTTAGCGATGTAAAACATTTAACAAAAATATTATTAGACCTATATACATCTGAAGTGTCCTCAAGTATTTTGCCATTTGATAACGTTTTTATTCGTATTATTATTTTCCCCTTAACAGTCTTTCCCAATATGTAATATGTATTGTAACCAATACGATTAGACCTAACCTACATACTGTAAGTATCGTAAAATCCTGTGAAGATTTCAGAAATTTATACACAAGCCATATAGACAATAAAACAAATCAACCGTTTTGATACTTCTATAGATGGCATTGATGCTTAGGGATAATAAACCCATCACGTAGGTGTCTTTCGTTTTATTACATATTAGTAGGTAATACGATACCTGTATCGTAATGTTTTATATTTATACACAGGTAACAGATACACGCAACGCGTCGAATGAATTACAACGCTTGATAATATGCTAACCAAAGTGTCTTATTTCTTCATTTGCGTCTCAGTAAAATTGAATAAAATGTAATGAGCATTGAATTAGTTAATCGGTTAGGTACTTCCTGAATCTACCACCCCTTCACCGTAACAGTGATTGTTCTTGGAAATCTTGCTTCCATTGGCCTTGTGCAAACACACACAAACGTATGCAGAATAAGATATCGTATCATCGTTTCCTATTGTGTACTCTATATTTAAACATAATAATTCCGTGAAAGTGTATTTCTATGCTTAATGTATGGTTGATAGGTATCCAAAGTCATGCTTCCAAATTACAAGGCAAATAACAACCCTTTGCACACAAAACCTGCCTTGACATCTTCTGAGACACTGTTTACATTGACTTGAATTATCATAATGTCCATTATGTCTTCATTTGACGATGTCGTGTATTTGTTGAATGTAATGGGAGACATCTTAAGATGTGGAGCAGAAACCGATTCACCTTCTTGAGCAAATATTTTGTTGTTGGTGGTTTCTTCTTGTTATCGGTAGTTTGTTTTTCGTACCAACTTTCAATTCCTACCCTGTTCTTGTTATCGGTAGTTTGTTTTTCGTACCAACTTTGAATTCCTACCCTGTTCTTGTTATTGGTAGTTTGTTTTTCGTACCAACTTGGAGTTCCTACCCTGTTCTTGTTACCTGTAGTTTGTTTTTCGTACCAACTTGGAGTTCCTACCCTGTTCTTGTTATCGGTAGTTTGTTTTTTGTACCAACTTGGAATTTCTACCCTGTTCTTGTTACCGGTAGTTGGTTTTTTGTACCAACTTGGAGATCCTACCCTATTCTTGTTATCGGTAGTTTGTTTTTCGTACCAACTTGGAATTCCTACCCTGTTCTTGTTATCGGTAGTTTGTTTTTTGTACCAACTTGGAGTTCCTACCCTGTTCTTGTTATCGGTTGTTTATTTTTCGTACCAACTTTGACTTCCTATCCTGCTCTTGTTATCGGTAGTTTGTTTTTCGTACCAACTCGGAATTCTTACCCTGTTCTTGTTATCGGTAGATTGTTTTTCTTTCCAACTTGGAATTCCTACCCTGTACTTGTTATCGGTAGTTTGTTTTTCGTACCAACTCGGAATTCTTACCCTGTTCTTGTTATCGGTAGATTGTTTTTCTTTCCAACTTGGAATTCCTACCCTGTACTTGTTATCGGTAGTTTGTTTTTCGTACCAACTTTGAATTCCTACCCTGTTCTTGTTACCGGTAGTTTGTTTTTTGTACCAACTTGGAGTTCCTACCCTGTTCTTGTTATCGGTAGTTTGTTTTTTGTACCAACTTGGAATTCTTACCCTGTTCTTGTTTTCGGTAGATTGTTTTTCTTACCAACTTGGAATTCCTACCCTGTTCTTGTTACCGGTAGTTTGTTTTTCGTACCAACTTGGAATTCTTACCCCGTTCTTGTTATCGGTAGATTGTTTTTCTTACCAACTTGGAATTCCTACCCAGTTCTTGTTATCGGTAGTTGGTTTTTCGTACCAACTTGGAGTTCCTGCCCTGTTCTTGTTACCTGTAGTTTGTTTTTCGTACCAACTTGGAATTCTTACCCTGTTCTTGTTTTCGGTAGATTGTTTTTCTTACCAACTTGGAATTCCTACCCAGTTCTTGTTATCGGTAGTTGGTTTTTCGTACCAACTTGGAGTTCCTAACCTGTTCTTGTTATCGGTTGTTTATTTTTCGTACCAACTTTGACTTCCTATCCTGCTCTTGTTATCGGTAGTTTGTTTTTCGTACCAAGTTGGAATTCTTACCCTGTTCTTGTTATCGGTAGATTGTTTTTCTTCCCAACTTGGAATTCCTACCCTGTTCTTGTTACCGGTAGTTTGTTTTTTGTACCAACTTGGAGTTCCTACCCTGTTCTTGTTACCTGTAGTTTGTTTTTCGTACCAACTTGGAATTCTTACCCCGTTCTTGTTATCGGTAGATTGTTTTTCTTACCAACTTGGAATTCCTACCCAGTTCTTTTTATCGGTAGTTGGTTTTTCGTACCAACTTGGAGTTCCTGCCCTGTTCTTGTTACCTGTAGTTTGTTTTTCGTACCAACTTGGAATTCCTAGCCTGTTCTTGATATCGGTAGTTTGTTTTTCGTACCAACTTGGAATACCTACCCTGTTCTTGTTATCGGTAGTTTGTTTTTTGTACCAACTTGGAATTTCTACCCTGTTCCTGTTACCGGTAGTTGGTTTTTTGTACCAACTTGGAGATCCTACCCTACTCTTGTTATCGGTAGTTTGTTTTTCGTACCAACTCGGAATTCTTACCCTGTTCTTGTTATCGGTAGATTGTTTTTCTTTCCAACTTGGAATTCCTACCCTGTACTTGTTATCGGTAGTTTGTTTTTCGTACCAAGTTGGAATTCTTACCCTGTTCTTGTTATCGGTAGATTGTTTTTCTTTCCAACTTGGAATTCCTACCCTGTACTTGTTATCGGTAGTTTGTTTTTCGTACCAACTCGGAATTCTTACCCTGTTCTTGTTATCGGTAGATTGTTTTTCTTACCAACTTGGAATTCCTACCCAGTTCTTGTTATCGGTAGTTGGTTTTTCGTACCAACTTGGAGTTCCTACCCTGTTCTTGTTATCGGTTGTTTATTTTTCGTACCAACTTTGAATTCCTATCCTGCTCTTGTTATCGGTAGTTTGTTTTTCGTACCAACTTGGAATACCTACCCTGTTCTTGTTATTGGTAGTTTGTTTTTCGTACCAACTTGGTATACGTACCCTGTTCTTGTGAGCTGACCTCGCTCAGCTACATTGGATTTGGAAAAGATATATTTTTGAAATAGTATTACTCGTTTTAATAATCCCCTCTTCTTTTTGTCTGTTGATGGTAACATTTCTGTAAAGGTATCCCGGTTAGTACATCGATTTATAAATATTTTTTTGTCATGCTCTCTTGATGTTTGTTTTAATACTTACTCTGGCTACATATTTTGAAAGCGTCATTAATGCCTCGTTGATCTGGGTAGATCGACAAGGATATGTATAGTCAGGTACATGCAAACGCAAACTCTGCCAAGGTTTGTGAGTAGCTGATGTGTCCGGTACCAGATTAAGATTAGTTAAAGTAAAATTCCAAACCCCTTTGGATAGCCCAGGGATTGGGGGGGGGGGGGGGGGGGGGGGGGGAGGAAATTACCTGTCATTATAAAGGCCTGCTCGTCACATTTGTTGAGAATAAATATCATTTTATAGGCTGCGGTCATTTAATCTAAAAATGCGTGTTTATTGTTATTTCATAAAACATCATAAAATAATGTGTTTATGTCTATGTCCAGAATGAAGTGGCTTCGGCCACGCTTTTTTCCCCTCTATTCAGCCGTTGTGATTAAATTAAATATATTAATATACACATACACCAACATCTTCAGTATACCGTTGTTTCCTCAGTTTAAGGTTGCATATCAAATATATCGCTGTGTATCATTATCGAATGATTTCATCCCTGTATGTAAATATATCAAGGATCTGTTCATAGTGAACGCTTGATATGTAAATATGATTAAGCTGTGTAAATTGAATTACCATGTGCAAATATTGTATCTGATAAACTATAAGAAAGTTAACGTAAATATTATAATGAAAATGTTGTTCGAATGTGTATATAAAGTATATTATTTATATATTCATCATTTTGATAATGTATGTGAGTGACATGGTAATGTTTGCATACATAGCTATTTAGAGTCGGGTCTGCAGTGTCCTCGTGTTAGGTAAACACTTGGCGGGTCTGCAGTGCCCTCGTGTTAGATAAACACTTGGCAACAGTGATGATACTGGGTATGGCAACACTTTAACACTTTGACTATGAGGAATGTAAGAGGAACATTAATATGTAATGTTCATGATTAAGGTATTGCTGATATATACCTTAAACCGGAAAAGGATAAGTTGTTACGTAAAATATAGAAAGAAAACAACATATGTTAATCAGACGTCGGAGAAACAAATCTGTTTTCGTGCAGACGTGAGCTCGCGCTATCTGTGACAGCATATGCAGACGTACAGAAGCTTTGCATACATTATATTGAAACATAATGATTATTTTGTAAAAAAAAATGTACTTTGCATGTAAAACGTGTATAAGTTTTGCAAATAAATTATTTCTATTAAAAAGGGGTTTGCTGAAAGAACTCGTGACATCATTTATCATATTTAGTCTAATTATGTCCTTGACCTTCTGCAGTTGGTTCCTACCGAGCTTACCACTATGATGAGTTTGTTATGCTTTCAAATGTATCAGTCATTACAGAAAGCTATATTGTTGTTTCGTTGTTTTACAATGCCAAGTTTCGTTAATCTTTGATTGAAATTAATATGTATACACCATGTACAAGCAATTTATCAGATTTTCTTTTTTCGAGGTGTATGAATTTATAATTTTAAAATGTTATTGTGTATACATTGCGAAATGCTTTTTAAAAGTCAGTGACTCATAGAGAGAAAAAATATTAGGTAGATAAAGTATCTCTTTGGTAAGTTGACTTAAACCTTATGGGTCAAAAGACCAAATTACAATAAATAAACAAACTAAAATCGAGAATAGTATGCTCTCATATATAATGTTTGGGCCGTTAATCCGATATATACATGGTCCAATGACCTACCCCGTCACAACGATAATGTTATTCATAGCTAATAAGATGTTCAAACAAAAACAAACACGCTATACATGTACAAGGGAGAGAACTGTACATGATCAGATAGATACACACTGTGAAATAAACAGACAATTGTTTACGTGACAGGTGGTGAGCGGCGCGGGGAAAACATGGCTGTTAATGCATCACCATTTTTTCGAAGGATGATGATATGGTGTGTTTTAACAACGATCATATGCTTCTTCTTTACGACAATGGACACAACCAAATGGTATGTATTTATCCGGATTAAAACTTAAATGTGTATTCCTATCCAAAATTAGTAAAGAAAGAAACGCAATAACTAAAGTGCTGGGCTTTTTGGGTTTACAGCTAACGCTTAGAACTAAAATGTTTTACTTTCTGGGATTAGAATAAACGTACTTCGCTCTCTGGGAGTAGACGTGAAGTAGTAAGATGCTTGGCACTTAGGGTGTATAGTAAACGTGAAGAAGTAAAGTGTTTGGCACTCTAGATGTAGAGCAGACGTGAAGAAGTAAGGTGCTTGGCACTCTGGATGTAGAGTAGACGTGAAGAAGAAAGGTCATTGGCACTCCGGGTGTTACGTAGACGTGAAGAAGTATGGTGCTTGGCAATCTGGATGTAGAGTAGACGTGAAGAAGTAAGGTGTTTGGCACTCTAGATGTAGAGTAGACGTGAAGAAGTAAGGTGTTTGGCACTCTGGATGTAGAGTTGACGTGAAGAAGTCAGGTGCTTGGCTCTCTTTGTTTTGAGTAAACATGATTATTTCTTTATTTTATTTTTATTTTTACTCAGGTTTGACAACTCTCAGCTTCGAGGGCAAATAATTTACGAATTTGCCTCATGGCGTACGATTCCCATGAACGCATTAGAAAAAATGAATGAGTATCTTAAACTCACTGACTTCAAGGATTTCATATCGCTGGCGAACATAACAACATCAGTGATAAATACGAGGAAGGACATAAGTTACGTCAGAGTCGGAGATGAAATCAGAGTGGACATTGTGTTGTACAACGGAAGAGGCGAGAGGTTTACAGTGGGAGGAGACATGCTCAGGGTATGGCTTCGGGAACATTCTCTTCGCGCTTCCGTTTCCGGTCATGTGATTGATCACGACAACGGATCATATACAGGGATCGTCAAAGTTTTGTGGGTTGGCAATCCAGAACTGATGATTTCTATTGCAAATACGAAAGAACATATTGGAATTTACTTAAATAATGTTCATACATATGGATTAATCACGTTCCTAAAAGCAGGATTTGAAAGAAACAAGCTGACGGAGTCCACTTTATGTAGCGTTGTCCCAAATATCCCCGATGTGAAAGAGTACTGCAACTTTACAGCGCAGAACTTCAACATGTCGTTTTTTTGTGGTAAACCGATCAATCTTAGCTGCTCAGACTGGAGTGTGTACGAGCGGACGGATATACACTCATGTTACAAAAAACATCAATCATTATTTCTGTAAGTAAGATTAATGTGTTCTCTGCTAATGCTAAATGTAAACCAAGCATTTTTATTAAAATATTTTACCACTATTATTGTTTTGATAATAGATCAATTGTAACATCTTTAATGACGCTCATAAAAAATGTTACAGAAAGACAAACATTCCTTATTTATATTTTCCCTGCACCATTACTTCTCTTTATGTGTTCGTACATACAATATTACTTTAGCCTATCATCCTTTGCAAATTAAGAACACGGTGTTATACTGTGCTATCGTTGAATATAAAACAAATTACCTCAAAACGGTGTGTGCAAGGAGTAGATAATTCCTAATAAATACTTTTTTAAGACAATAATTACTAATTTCTTTCAGACAACATAAGAATTTCAAGAAAAGAGTATCAACGCTGAATGTATATTCTGGTAAGTATCACTTTGGCATCAATTTCCAGCTGCTACGGATTTATATTCTGAAACAGTAAAAAAATAATATTAAAAGGACTTTTCCTTGGCTACCGATAATTTTGAGAACTGTTACCGGCTTATATCAGTCCATACTCTCACAGAATGAACAGTTGTCGGCTTTCTCCTACTCAAAACGCAGTACTCCGTTGTATTAATAGTTGACAGGTTTTTGTGTTAAGATTGGACAGCTACAGCACAATTTCCAGGTAATGAAGTATACTATGGGGTATTGGTGTGTATGCAGCATGAGCTTTGGTCATTCAAGCATGAATATATGTATTGCTAACTTATTGGACAGGTACAGATAGAGTGACTATATTTGGAAATACACATGATTTTCATGTCAAAATAGTGATAAAGTGAATCCTGGGTATTTATTTGTCAGTCCAGCTTGGTCCTTTCAAGTGACTACACTCTCAGAAGTTGATGAACAATGCCGCTTTCAAAATCATTTGCAATGGTTTTAACGCAAGGACAAGTTGATTAATACAACACATAGACGAAGACCAACAGTGAAAGTTTACTAAAATGACTAGAGATTGCATGCATAGAAAAGCTACTGAAGCAAAGTGCAAAGCAATTAAAACCGAAATTAACAACTAAACCAGCACTAGTGGCAGTTCACGAAAATAATTACTATATGCCCTATCCATCAATAAACACATTTCAAAATCATTAATGGATTACCATATTCCTTTATCAATCATGTTTTACAGGATTCGTTTGGATTAATTTGTGTTGAAAGACCTTTATTCTCAATAAATTTCAAAAGTGATATGTTCAGCTGGGTTATCTATAAGGATTAAATAGAACTATTTATGAGGTTTTGAAAGATGACTTTTACATGTCCTGTATAGTTTTTTCAAAATCATACATGATAAGTAAATTGTGGATCTGCTGTTGCTTCAACTTATTTTTGTATCCTGTTCCTGTATTTATTATGTCATTATTAGGCCAGTAGCTGTCCATTATTAAACACAATATTGGACAGCTACGGCTTTATAATGGACTGTTACAGTATTTTATTGTACATTCTACCATGTATGAACACTGCATCCGACGTTCGTTAGATGAGTATTAAGAACAAATTCGAGGCAAGCCGCCCTTTTATCATGACATTAAAATAAACGATTTAATAACAAAACATATAACAAGATACAAATATATATATCATCAATCCGCCTGAAGAAGCCCTAGAAGGCAGAAAGGCCTAGCGGAAGATCTGAAAAAAATGTTTTTATTCTATATTTTCCTTCGCAAGGACTTATTTATTTATTATCTACTATATATATATATATATATATAATTTAATCTTATAATAGAATTATATGTAATATGTACGTAAATCTTTTGGAAATGCGTTAAAAAGGTTACATGAAATGAGTAAGTACTGCATGCAAAGCGATTTTCTCCGGAAGTAGATGGCTATATGGTGTGACTGCTATTGTTTCTCTCCTCAGGGTTTAACTTTATAAAAGGTTCTCACGTGTCGTGCCACGACCTCAACAGTACCGTCACATGGCAGACAAACAACCCGACCGGCTACTTCTACAAAGGTCAATGGCGGTCTCTAGTATGTAGGCCCTCACTCCGATGGAGGTACGAATCCTACCTGAAGTGTCTGAAGAACCGCCCTGTACTAATGACAGGTGATTCTACAACACGGAATTGGTTTTCGCCCTTAGCCAAATTGTTGAATCTACACATACTTGTCGGTAATCGTGAAATAAAGGACAAAGCATGGCAGAAGTTTTCTGAGGCTGTAGATAATGATACAGCGATATCAATGTACTGGACTCCGCACGAAATTCCATTCTACAGCCATGAGCAAAACAAAAATAACTTTCGATCGGTAGCCTCCAGAATAGACGAATTGCCCGGAAATAAAAGCGCCATTGTTGTGTTACATTGGTATGGCCATTTAACGAGGACAACTCCGGAACAGTACCGAGAGCATGTCCAGAGTGCTAAGAAAGCTGTGGTTCGACTTCTAAGACGATCTCCTCATTCAAGCATTTTTATTAAGGGTCCTCACTCCTACACATATGGTATTTTTCTAGAACCATTCGATTACTTAAGCAGAATTTTTGAACAGATCCTGTATGAAGAGTTCAAAGATTTGCAACATAAAGTATATTATATAGATCAATGGGACGCCACGGTAGGAAATGAAAATGTACACATACATCCTACTTTCCCGTCCTTTTACCAAATAATGATCAACTTCGTCTTCTCATTTATATGCAAAATTTGATCTACATAACTGCATGCTGCATTTATTTTTATACTAAAAGTTGAGACAAGTGTAGGTAGAGACAAATACGAAAATATTCTGTTCATATCACTGGTTACCTAGCCTTTGACAGTGGTATGTTTATAATAATAAAATGCAGCGTCGTAATGAAGAAAAACCACGTGAGCGATATATAACTGTAATGTTTTCAATTTAAGATGCACAATTCAAATGTGTTTCGTTTCTTGTCTTATCTTTAATAGAAGCCATTAAGTCTACGGTCATTATCTAATTTTTTCACCTTCAATACATTGACCTTCATTCGAGATAAATGAGTTCAAACTGTAAATGACTTCGTATAACAAACAGTGCAGCCAATAGTCAATATATTAAGTCTGTACCTTGCTGTAGAGAAAGACCCACCGTCGTGTCAAAATAAATCGTCAGTATTCACTGAATCTTCATGTCGCTATATTGTATAGTAATATCTCTATGTGCATGGCTGAATCGGTATATAGCTTTTGTTGTGTAATTGTTCTCAAAATAAACTCTGTATTGTGTGAAAGCATACCCGCGTTTGTATAGATTTAAAACAATAACTATACACTGTTTTGCATTTATTGAAATAATTTAGCTGCCTTAGCACAAAACATGAATGATGACATCATCTTGCAAACTCTATGTAACAGGAACTCTCATCAGAAAATCAACTAAAGCTATATGGTGTGAAAAGAAGAAAATCAATGAAGTTTCACGTGCAACAACGGAATCATCTGGCGACGGGAAACTTAATGCATATCATAGTCTATTGGTAAAAGCAGGTTGTTATGCTTATGAGTATTTTAATCAGGATAGTACGATTATTTAAGAAATAATCAATGTATATGCGTTTATTATGTAGGAATATATCATGAATAGAATGCTAAAAAAATGCAAAAAAATAATAAACGAACTCCGTTTGCGGCCTGAGCTGGTCATTTTTCCAATATTTTCGAATCTGAGATGTATCTCCCATCATAATATACAAATATATGTTGATCATATATCTACCTGTAACCAGGTAAAAGGTACGAACGTCTTTTTTTTGTGTCTACTTCAGTGTCAATATACCATTGTTAAGCATGGTGATCTAGATAATATAATAATTTAACTGAGGCTATTATTTTGCGCGCGCTAACATTTGTCGCGTCTTTATTTCACAAGCTGTGCGATATTTTTTCATTTCTGACCTTGTGTCCGGCTTTTTCAATTTTACCTGGATGTATTTGGAAAGATTCTTTTTTATTTTTAGTCGCCATTCGGCTGACGTACGCTAAACAATAAACACTTATTTCAATCAAAAATTCACCTATCGGCATCCCTCGTCAACACACTATTTCAAGTCACCTTGGTGGAACGTTAAGCGGAACATAATGACCATGAGCTTGACCATCTTCGATAGTCCAGGGGTTACGGCAAAAAATGACTGTCTTGGGTGTAGCTCCTCTAGATCTGTTGTCTTCAAATCAAACCAATCAAACAGCTGTATATTCCAGGGTGCACATCCTCGATATCCAGGGGTTACGCTTACTTTCGCTATCGAGGATGAGGGGTGCAGAGAGCGCTAGCTAGCGTAACCCCTGGAGTATCGCTTGACTTTCTTCTATTCAGGTTTAATTCCGCCGACATAATTCTCATTCACATTTGATTGATGTTAACTTTAAGATTCATGTTTTTCGCCATAAAAAAATACATAAATAAATTTTTTTATCGATATACAGTTAGAAATATGACAGACAAAGTATGTATATATAGGTAAATGTATTAAAAGAAGGGCCATAACTCTTGCAGTCTTATAAGAATGGCAGACAGGATTGTTGTATCAGTACTGTGATGTGTAACACAACATACTTTAAAGTATAGATATTAAATGATAACTCTCCTTCATTTTTATAACGAAACGTGTATTATGGCATATATCATATGTAGGTACATTGTACATGCCTGGAAGATAATACCGTCGGTGTAAGATTTTGGATCAGAACCGAGACATGCTGTAGAATCTCTAATCTCACCTATCTTTAGCTTTATTAAATTAACATCCACACCTTACCTGGGAGTCTGGTAAGTGAAAGAAATGAATATTTTGAGCAGAAGACAGTTCAATGTAGGTATACAACGGTAACCGTATCGTTGATGTAATCTGCAAAACCCTTATACCTTTTTTGTCTTTTTCAAAAACACCATGTAGTGTTAAAGTAAAGATGATAACGTTCTCGCCACTACCATAATGCTGCTATTAGATGCCGGCTACCAATAATGCATCAATATTCTCTGCAAAATCCAACTTGACATATAGTCCATCAAATTACATAACATTCTAGACTATCTGATGACTGTTGGTCTGTTACAAAAGATATATAACTAACCATAGCAAATCTTGATACTTCTATTTATAGTCGGGGGGTTTTCATGTTTCGTTTGTTTGGTGTCATTTCCTTTTACATGTTTGTATTAGCCCTAGTTACGTATACCTTTTCTATGTTAATGGGCTTTTCAAAATGCCGACTGTTGACGATTCATGTCATATCACGATGACATTACGTTTCAGTAAGTCAGCCAATTAAATATTGACCATTATAAAATATTATATACTACAAATATTTTCATTTGTAAACTTACTGGCAAGGGTTCAGTAAAATGCAGTTCATTGAGGTAATTTGGTGCACCTATGTGGAATATGTTTTCCTTCCTGATTTCCGGTCACGTTCGATAAGGTTTGTCCATGTAAGGTAACCAAGCTGTCAAGTGTTAACTTAAGTAGGCTCATCAGAAGGCGTAGGAATACTACAATGTATATCTAGGGAAGTAGTTACTCCTTCAAAGATGTAAATAAATTGATTACATGACCAGTATTTAAAATACTTTATAAAATGTGTTTAAGATAGTTTGTATTAAATGTGTAGCACACGTATATCGGAACTATATCAGCTTACTCAATAGTTTAGGGACAGCTGTGATCGGGTTCATATGCCACATGTTTAAGTAGACGTGTGTGAAACATACCGAACTGATCCTTCGCAGATCATAAATTGGAACAAAACATTCGGCAGAACCTCGTGCTTTTACCCTAGTTGATGATCCCTTCGGAATGAAATTCTCTATCCAACTTCTATTGCATAAAAAAGAGTTTATAATTTTTCACGGGATGATCATAGTAATTTTAACAGAATGAGAAAGGAAAGCAAATCTGGTGTATAAATGGTAAATATCAAAGTCTTTGATTTTTTCTAATTAGCATTGATCAATTACGTGACCAGTATTTAAGACATATTTACCCATTTGTTTTATTATTTTAACGCGGTTTATTCATGAGTGAAGATTCTAAGGAATCTAGAGATTCTAGACAGTAGTATAAGTGTTCTTGTTATGTATTCAATATACATCATCCATGTCAGTCTTACAATAAGTTCAGGGATTGCAGCTTTGCATGGTGGACCAGGTACAAAACACTTAAAAGCATTATCACCACTGCATGTTAAAGTGTGCACTGGTGCAATTTTGATAAGCATTACAATGCACTCTTTACCTGGCGGATTTGGACGACCTTGAACCGAGAGATTTATAGTTTATTTATTTTCTGTCTAGAATCTCTAGATTCCTTAGAATCTTCACTCATGAATAAACCGCGTTAAAATAATAAAACAAATGGGTAAATATGTCTTAAATACTGGTCACGTAATTGATCAATGCTAATTAGAAAAAATCTTCCGATTTTATTCCTGAGAAATTAATGTAGCCGGGTCAACTCTACATTGGTTCATGACAGAATAACCAATATTGTGATTCCATTTTAGTGGTTTATTTCATAACACAAAGAAGACCCTACAATAACACAAATACAACATATAAGAACAAGTAGGATAGTCTGCGATATACATGTACACTACACGAGAAATATACTTTATCACATACATATTAAATACAAATTCCCCGTAACGGTTACAATTAACATTACGACTTTATAATAAATATATCATTCTGCTTCATGATAAATTAAACAATTTATCCATTTAGTTAACACATTATTTTCAATAGTCCCATAATTTACATAGCGTATAGATTAACAAATACCTACCCTATCAATCCGACAGGGGTCTTAATGACAATACTTATAATGGCTTGTCGTCTATATATTCAATTCATCTGTAGGGAAAAATATAACATCTTAATTAAGTAAATATGTTTAATAAAGGAAAGATAATTTAGCCTCCTCTAATTGAAAAATATATAATTCCGTAAAGGTTAATTATTTATAGCATAACTTAAAATGGTTTATAATTCTTATTACTTACTATATGATATTGCTGCACTTTAAATTCATAGTCTGTATGGATAGGTCGTCTGTAAATGTTGTACGTGAACGTGTTACAACTCTATTGTTGTTTCATTGACTATGAAAAAGCGTTTGACACTATTAATCGTAAGAAATTGTTTCATAAGTTAGAAAGGAATATGGTCACTGGAAAAATGTACACTATCGTTAAATCCATCTATGAAATGGTTAGATCTTGTGTAAAATATGAGTCGGAGTTATCTACCTTTTTCAATGTCACAAACGGGCTTATGCAAGGGGAAGGGTTATCTCCCTTTCTTTTTTCTCTATATATCAATGATTTTGAAAATGAGTTGATCATGAAAACCACTGGATGTGTTGAATTAAGAGATATATCGCTGTTTTTGATTATGTATGCGGACGATACTGTCTTTTTTTCTGAGTCCATAGAAGGTCTTCAGACTATGCTTGATTCCTTGTATGACTATAGTACCACATGGAATATAAAGGTCAATGTGGCCAAAACGAAAATCGTTGTCTTTCGTAATGGCGGTAACCTTTCAAATAATAACAGATGGTATTACAATGGAAAAACCATTGAAATTGTTGAGTCTTTCAATTATCTGGGTGTAACATTGTTTTATAATGGAAAGTTTACCCAAACTCAGAATATTATTAGTCAGCAAGGTCGAAAATGTGTATACCGCATAACGAATATTTGTAATAACAATTTTTTAACATTGAAACTAAAATATACGTATTTGATATTTATGTTTCAAGTGTATTAAACTACGGCTGTGAAGAATGGGGATTCCATGCTGTCCCTGACGTAGAGAAAGTGCACATAGATTTTTGTAAGCGCTTACTTAATGTTAGAAGGTGTACTCCAAACAATATGTTGTACTCTGAACTTGGTAGATTACCACTTTGTATAATACGGAAAATGAGAATAATTAAGTAATGGTTGAAATTACTTGAAACAGATAACTGTATTTTGAAAGCCTTGTATAATGATATGTTGTCTGAAGTAAATACAAAGGCCAACTGGCTTAGTAATGTGAAATCAATGTTAATGTCTCTAGGTTTTGGATATGTTTGGTATGATCAGAAAGTTGTATGTAAGAATCAATTTATATTGGACGTTAAACTACGTCTACGTGATGTTTTTATACAAAATTTGAACAATTTTTTTGAAAACTCTACGAAATGTTTTTTATATAGATGTCTGCCCGAGGTTAATTGTCTTCAGTATTATCTTTGTAAATCTTTTCCTGAATCTTGTATTTTAACCATTGCGAAATTTAGATTATCTTCACACGACCTTCGTATAGAAAGGGGCAGATATGAGAGAATACCTCGTAATGAAAGAATTTGTTTAAAGTGTAATTTAGGCGATATAGAGGACGAATTGCATTTTATTCTTGTTTGTCCATTTTACAACGAAGTAAGAACACAATATATTGACAGATATTACAGAAATAGACCGTCTATGTTTAAATTAATTAATTTGCTTTCTGTTAGAAGTAAGAGGAAATTGAATAATCTTTCCAAATTTTTAATTTCTGCTTCACAACTGAGATCAAATAAATAATTACACATATTGTCCATCCTCCATAATATGTCTGTATTGCTGTGTATCACTCACTCAATTTTGTAAAATGTATTGTACTGTTTATGCTGATTATCCGAAAGGCTAAAGGCCAATAAACTAAACTAAACTAAACATGTACGTCAGGTACTCTGCATGTCAAGTGCAGGAATGCCGGTAAAACTCACAGGTACACGTACGAACACGCAATCACGTGACAAGACATTAACATAAAAATACAATACTCAGGTGGACATGTGAACTGCACAAACAGGTTTGACAAGTACGTGTATTAAAATAGATAGCGTTAGAGATACCTGTAATAAAATAATTTAAAAATACAAAATAGTTAATAATAATATTACCACTTTGGTAATATATAGAAAGTTTGAAAGATTTTAATCAAACTATATTTAAACAAAATACTCACTGCCACATTAATACATTTGTTTTCTCCTAATAAAGGTTATCTTTCACCTGAACAAAATATTTTAAATTAATATCAATTAAACGCTTTTAAATTAAATGATCAGGAGGCACGAGTACGTGTTGGTTATCTGATGTGTCTAACTCGAGGAGTTTGTTAAAGTTAAAATTGTATAAACAGATAAGGTTTCCGAAGTGTCTTCTTACAATTAGAAAAACATTTTTTCTGTTGAAAATACATGATTTATAATTCCGATAAAGTAAACAATTTTGATGATTTATGACGTCACAAGTTACCATCGCAAAGAATTGTTACGTGATGTCATAATTTTTAAAATATGAAAAAGAAATGAAATCGTTTCCAGGGTGCTCTCTGGCGCACAATAACCACAGGGAAGGACTCTTTATCACTTATCCTATCAGTAACATTATGCAAGTGACTTTATTTCACTAGTGGCAAGGTGAAACGAGAGACACACCTGTAAAGAGTGTGTTGATATTACAACATGCACAGGCGTATTGTATTAGTGCGTTTATGCGGGGAAAGGAAATAGTATTGCTTTCGAACGAAGTAGACTTAGTATTATCATGATTCGAACGTATATTATAACGGTTGCAACATTTGTTTGATACTCATTGATAGATAATTGATTCCATTTCAACTAATCTCCTTAAATTGGTAGTTTTGAAGCTCGATTGTTTATTTCAGTTTGCAAAATAAAAAATTAATAAAAAATAATATGCTTTAAATCAGTTTTGAATACTCCATATTGTGTTAAACTTACAAAGTGTAAGAGTATAACATTAACAATCGTTGGGTGTTGTGTGAGGCTCCTTTATAGTAATCGTATACACACAGAGGCAGATTTCCTGTTCGTGGTTCGGGTCACAACTAATTTTGTTACCGGTATACAGAAACAATTCACTACTTAGATGTATATAGAACTTTAATATATTTAAACGGAGCTGGAAACAAGAACATCGCCATTGTCCAAGGTAAATGATCAACGAGACTTAACGCTTGGAAGTTAATGTTGCTCGTGAACCTTATAATACACCCCAACAATACATGTTTTGATAAATGTATATTTCATAGTCCGGATTACCTTACATTTGTTTTCACAACTGGGTCACCACGTGACCGTCACGAGAGACGACGTTAACACTTGCTACTTGCCAGTGCACCTCATTATCAACATATTTTGAGAAAATTATCTTCATACACTTAAAATAGTTAACATCTTGGTAACGAAAAATATTCATATTGCAAAAACTCTAAATGATGTGTTTCTTCAACATTGGTACTGAGATAGGTAAGTGATTTGGTTAAAGTTTACCTGAGGTTGAAATGTTAACAAAAACTTTTTAATTAAAAAAGAAAATGTAATAAAAAAATCTAGAATGCGCTATTTAATACATGAAAGACAACATACTTTTTTCTCTTAAAACCTAAAGTTTGTAGGCTCTGTCAAAAAATTGCTTAATGTACATATTTTGTAGAAAAGATGGAGGTTTAGTCACGTATTGTTTAACGTCATATTAACAGCTAAGGTTAGTTAAGGTCTATACCACCGAAGTACCTAGCTGTACCAAACTTTTAAGTGTTTGTATTGATAAGTATGTTTCCTGGAAAGATCTTGTACAATATGTATGAAAAAAGTTGACGAAAGTGATTGGTGTTCTTTCATGTCTAATGAAGTTCAACGGTATTGTATTCCCACAGTTCATCTACTATTCATCGGTGTGGATTACTCAGTAATCAGATATATATTGATCATGTTTTAAAACTTCAGAAAAGTATGGTCAATATAATATTTAAGACATATTTGAATCTGACAAAAATGTCGTACGTTTTTTTTCTAAATGTTAAATCTCAACTGGCTCGAAGGGCAAAGATGAAGCAATAATGTCCATTATGGCGATTTTACGACGCGAACTTTTTTTTTTACATAATTTGAATATTCTTGATAAAAATATACAGCCACACACATTTATATTTAATACATTTGCTTAGATTGGATAATGGGATGGACTGGAGCGAGGAGGTGCTAATGTTCGCATGTTGATATTAGAACTCTTCAATGATGTAAAGGACCCCAGCGTAACAGAATATAATATTCACATTTATAATGAGTCTAGGTGACCTGTACTCTTCTATATCCTCGTAAGTAGTTATTCCAGATTCGTAGCGTATTCTATGATACTTCTCTTGCTATTCCAGCAGATTGGTAGATTTTTTCCTCATCGTTAAGTGGTTAAGGCATCTGACATTCTATTACCTCAAACTCTCGTCCACTTGGTCACGGGTCCGAGACCTACTTTGGGCAGTCGCCAAGTACATGTACTGGCCGTAGGTCGGTGGTTTTTCTCCGGGAACTCAAATCAAAACTTGGCACGTCCTTAAATGACCATAGCTGTTAATAGGATGTAAAACACAAACAAACAAACAAACTCGATCGCAGTGACGATCATGGCAGCGGCGACAAGATTCAAAGTCCTATGGTATACAGTGCACTTGCCGTATTTCAAGGGCTACTGTTAAAACTAGACTCAGGTTAGGTGTTGCTTGATATTATTCTTCATTGTCATATCAAATTAAACATAAACTCAAAATGCATTGTGACGTCATTGGAATATATAGATTGCAACAGTGAATATATGCCTGAATACACAAATGAGCAAAGGTCTCGTGCACAACATTAGCTTCATGAGTATCAAACAGCTTAAAAACAAATTCTGTGTGTCATATTGAATAACATTTTCTTAAATTGAAATTATCCGTGACGTTTCAATTTGGTGAATTTATTTCAATTTTTAGTCTTTAAATCTCCTATTGTACAACTGCATAACCCTGTCGATCACGATCGGTACATATAACGGCACTCCTTGTGTGAACGACTCAATGCAATAAAGTCGAGTGTTACCTTTGAGGAACACTCCAATATCACCGCAGTGTATCAATGAGTTGCTAGGAGCCATGTGAAAGAAAGTTCACGATCTTACCTGGTCCCAAATATTTTATTACAGGTGCGTTATCACAAATGGGATTTAGACTCACATGTCCTCCCACCTGACTCCTTCGATACCTAAAGCTGGCTGTCTACACAATCGCCGAGGTCTCCGAGACAGGCAGACGTAAGATCACTTGTTCTCGATAATAGCTCACACGAAGGATAGTACCATGACATTTGATGACGTCATCAAAGAGTTGGGCGAGTTTGGCCCGTACCAGCGCCGTCTTATGGCCCTTGTTTTGTTCCCTCAGATTTTGTTCGCGCTCCAGCAGATGGTTCCTGTGTTTATCCTGTCCGAACACTCCCACAGGTAAAGTAATCTACTACTCTAATTACATTGCAATACAAATCGTTTGTTATATATAAGTCTTGGGGACTTTTTTTCAAAGCCCGATAACTAAGATTCGAGCATGTAGACATTGGGATGCAAAATGTATTGGGTGTTTTGGAAAAACTATCTGTAAAAGAGTGTATATGTTTATGAAATGACGCCGGTAATGTACTAAAGCTGATATGTTTCATTTTTCAACGAACGTACGTTCGAGATGGACACAGCACTATATCCCGTTTTTTAACAATACCATACAAAATTAAGGGGGATAGGGGTCATCATGTATATGTGGTCCCTTGATTTCGTCTAATTGAATAAGTACTTTTATTTACCAACCTTTTCATGAATTTAAAAAAAAAAATACAAAATGGTTCCTTATGTATAGATTTTCAGCAATATGAAGACCATTCATGGCGAACGCTCTTGCGCTCAACATTTTCTTGCGTGAGCCAGCGAAGCAGGCTTCATAGGTATCACGTATTACATACGAGAAATCCAATCAAAACGTACAAAAATATCTCTCCCAAATAAGAAGACAAGGTACTTGCTTAATTTGGGAAATTGCGCGTGCACAAGTTCCGTTAATGGAGGCTGCGATTTTGGATTTACTTAATTGTAGAACTAGTTGCGACAGAAAATAATCAATTTCAATACACAAAAATCAGTCTTAGTGAATATTTCTTCTCTTTTTCATTTTTTTTACAATATCTGTGCCATCGCGCAGATTCCCTGCGTTCAATGTCATCAGTCATTATGTCGTCATAATTGATAATTATCGCATACAGTCATTTTTTGTTTGCTTTGGGATTCTTCAAATTCAATATTTTAATTTATTTACGTGTCAAACACATATTATACAATCACAAATGTTACAATAAATTAGTTGAACTTTTATATAAATGTATCCAGCCATGAGTGGCTTAATAGACACGATTAAAAACATATGTACATAACATGATGCATATGGTTGCATATGAGAAATGGAGGGGGGTTGCTAACATATACTATTATTTGTGTAAGAAATCTGTTCTTGAGCCTATGCAATGCAGCAACATGGCAAAAGGTACATGTACATATAAGTGTTTTCGTGTTGAGTCCACAGATCACAAATATACGCTCCTTGATAGATCAGTGTTGGTACAGAGGAGCTTTCTTTGGCTTAAAACTCCCCAGGATTGGAATGTATAAGAACAATGTATGTTGTCCCTATTATCGCTGAATCTCAGATATCAACATTTTCAAGTTGTTAAAAATTGATACCCAAATGCAACCCCATTTCTTGTTGCATATTGTTCAAAGGTTCAGATTTCTTGATCTGTGAAAACGCATATCCAAGTTAGGTATGCTACCGGCAGTCTGAACAGAGAGTATATAATTATTTTTTTTTATTTTTAAACGTTTTGATCACAGCAGGCTCAGCTGCCATATACCTCCTTCAGAATTTTATTGATATTGTAAGTACCTGAGCTAGACAGCGTCTGCTTTCTGAGCCGCATCCGTCAACACATTCACAGCTCAAACAGACATAGGCACCCTCGACTCGATCGTGATGCTCCATTCATTGCGTAAAGTATCATGAATGTTGATTTCATCTGTATTGCATAAAAAGGGGATTTGTACTATACTGTATAAGTAGTTGTACATTATGTTTCATTGCAGAATATGGGACAAGTTGGTGGAAAATTCTAAAGACGGTCAATCAATAAGAGCGTACTTTAATCTGTCACATTCCACTGCAAGTTCCTCTATAAGCATTACCATCACAAATTGTGTTCAAAGAGCTATGGTCGCAATTGGATCAGCGTCATTTTGGAGTTTCTCCTCTTGCCTTGATAAACATGAGACAACCGTTAGAAGCAATTATTTTGGTGACGTAGGGCTGTTCCAGGAATCTCGTCTGTGCTGATGACACAGACACTTCAATACCGCAACTATAAGGGAACATCCTTGTTTATGTCAAAAATAACTAAAACTTAGAACGTAAATAGTCTAGTGGTAGGACGCCGGGCTCGTAACCGAAGGGTTGCATATTTGAGTCACGTCACGGCACTGCGTTGTATCCTTGAACAAGATACTTCACTCCGCTTGTTCCAGTCTACTCAGCTGTAAATGAGTGTAAACCATATAAGTATATCAAAGTACAATATAATTGAAGTGTTATTCATTGTTGAAACATTTGTCTACTCGTCACAGGGATAATTTTCGCTTTGATATTTAAGCAATCGTGATAAAAGTCAGTCTAGGCAAATATATATATAATAATGGGGCTAAATCTAACGGAACAACCATGATTGTGTTCTTTTCTTTATGCCAACAAGCACATGGTTGGCTGTTTGGTTGAAATCGCAAATACAGGTATTTCAATTTTATTGAGCTTATCCCTGAAGTTACTTGTCGTAGCCTTTGTGTATCCATTTCTTCATGACTAGGAATTATATATATGGTTGGCTGTCTCTACCATTACCATGCACATGTAATGGCCAAGAGGCTAAATCCTACGGGATCGACAGTACCAGCAGGCTATCTTATAGAAGCAGGATTATATCCGTCCCTTTATGGCAATGCGATCACAGATATGGTCAAAGAGTTGAGATCTCAACAATTCCATGATTTGATCCACAGACACTTCGATCATCGTCGACTAGGTAGCTCAATTAATCATCTGTTTAGAGTTATTAGGGTCCCGGGTTCGAACCAACCCCGGTCTGGCCGTGCATTTTCCCGCCCTGTTACATTGGTGCCTGTGACCAATCCTTGTTTCAAACATTAGGAGTACGCCTGGTAAGGGGATACCCGGACGTGGGTAGTAATAATTTTATACAAGGATCCTGTTTATTACATAACATAATTGTAACCTCAAAACCAAGATGTTGCTGACTCTTGATAGAGAGTGTTTAAAAGTCACCTCTTCCTCCATCGTACAGGTGGTTCTTCAGCACTCAAAAATCATTTTCGGTTTAAAATGGTCGCATGTATATACAAAAATACTTTGTATGAACTATATATTTCTTGTTTTCCTCGTTATACAGTTTTAGTAAAAAAAACATTGCCGTGGCAATCCGAAAGACTTGACATTGATATAGACACACATGGGGTTATTAAGTATTTACTACATTGTAGGTGAGTAGTAGTCAATAGGTCCTTGGTGGTAGTCACCTCAAAGTAATAAACGAGTGCATAATGAGTACTCAAGCATCCAAAACTGGAACTGTTTCTTTCTAAAATGTAAACAAAATATACTCAAACGATACTATTGTTTAATTATTGCTCAAAGCTGAACCAGAATTATGTGGAGCAACATATTTAGATATAAACTTTAGATACAGTCAAAAACTTCACACATGCTTAAGTAAATTGTATAAATTGCATAATTCGTTATAATTAATTGTGATATCTAATGTGCTTGAAACATCAATACCAGCGTGTATTTGAACATTAGCTTCCACCAGCCATAGAAAACAATTATTGTGTTTAAAAGCTTTTTAGAAAGCTCATGATAATAAAATATGGTAAATTATAAATATGTGTCTTGTTGTGACAGGTAAAATAACAATTTCAGATCAAATACATTTTAACTGTCATGGTTCAATATCTTCAATAAGATTGATCAGTTTGGAAATGTGTTTTATCAAAGTTTTAATTTCTACACAGTCAATGTACGTATTAAACGTGTCGAAACGATTTATTTACCTGTACAACGATGTGACGCAATTGTACATATGTATATTCTGTATGTCCTTCGACCCAGGATGTTTCGCCTATCGATAGGGAGCGTATACACACTGCATCAGGTAGGTACACTACAAGAAAGTTAATAATATTACATGTTAGATCTATATTCTTATCAAAATTAAATATTTTTAGCATTTTTAAAGGAATAGTTGGTACCAAATGGCTTATTAACACTATGAGGGAATATATGGTATCTACCACTGGAACCTGATAATTTGTTACAGCTATACTTTGACCTAAAATACATGTTTTAGGGATTTAGATCGACTTTTAGTAAAAATGACAACCCTAATGATTAATAATACCACAGGGACCTGAGAATTTGCTACAACTATATTTGGACCTAAAGTAAGGTGTGCAGAGTAATTTTACTAGTTTTACTAGTTTTTCAAAACTTCAAACTCATACTATATTTTACAAGAGCTATTACACTAGATACTAAGTAATACGCCCACGACACTACATGAACCAATTGTCCGGTTGACCTCGACCAACGACATTTGGTGATTGATTGTGATAGCCTGTCCTTGTATTGCATGTAGGTATGCCATATGTTAAGCCGTTCCTCTGAGATGAGATAGTAAGCTATATATGATGGTCTATCTATTGTACACGCCATCGTACCATTGTCATGGTGCCATCGCTATGTGGGCGATGTAAAGGTTTTATATATGGCACTCAACATATTCCAAACAGCAACCATCATGATCTAAAATAAGATGTAATTTAGCTGCACGAAGTCATGACTGTATGTCACGGTGGTTCGATACTTTGTGTCGACTTGTGGGGATAGATATGACAATGTCTGTGTGTTCCATCACTCGACCATTGTTCAAAACTAAGTCGGAATGTTACGTGTGGTCGTTATTATCTGGTCAGAATACTTTACTACACGTTAACCGTCACATGTTATAGGAGAATCTTTCAGTTTACATATATACATATCGTCATTTGAGTGAAACTTGTCACCAACTCAACTGGTCGGAATCCAAAAATGTATGGTGTATTTCATGTCATATTGTCGTCGTTATTTTATACTGCCTTATCTCGTTTGAACATAATATAATATGTGGTGGCCTAAAGGCAATGAATTGCAGTGTAACACATTTGTGAAATTTATACATATTGATTGGTCTACAAAAATATAAGTCAAAAACCGTCAATATTGATACTGATAACGCTGATAAACGAATGATTCCAGCAGCACATATTGCCTGTTTCTTATCGTAAGTCTAATGTATTAGGCA